GCGTCAAAACTCAGAACATCATCACGAACGCCTTAAAAACCTCAATCACATTCGTTACCGTTACCACAGTCTGAGGAAACTCATTTCAGTCTACATTCTTACATTGTATCTGTTTACGATCAGTTTTAGTAGGTAGGTAGATAAGGTATCCACAGTAATCAGTTTCGTTCAAAATGTTAAAAAAATATTTTCTATTGTGCGTGTCACATGACTCGTTCATCTCATCTTCCTTATCACCTTCATGGTTTTGGTGAAGATTAAAAGTATTTTATTTTCTCAGGTCAGAATGTTTTTATCGATACTTTGTTTTCTAAAACCTATAATACGTGTTCTGACAGAATGAGAAATCGATTTTCACATCCACATTAACAAACAGCTTACATGGATGTTAATAAAATCTTCTCGGGCTCCCAGGCGTATCAGTTGGTTAAAATCACGTTTCAGGACAGATATGGTCCCTGTATCGTCGGTGATTTTTAACCATCTGACACGGCTGACAGCAGTAGATTTTATTAATATTAGTCGCTGTGAAAGCTTTAGACCATACATGACTTTAAAGTTTATTTAAGTGTCTAGGAAGTTTAAAACAGTAGTTTTCATGAAGATTTCTGTCTTCTGGGTTGTTGCGCTGTGTAATATGACCTCTGAAACGTTGGTTAACATCGACCAGACTACAAAGCGCAACAACCCAGAAGACAGAAATCTTCATACTCACCGCTGTGAAAACCTCAAATCTTACACAGTAGTTTTCATATTTAGGTGAAATCACGAATAAAACATTCGTTAACTCTGGATATTCCAGAATCCAGCGGGTTATAGTCAGTTGTTCACTCACCGGTAATATTGTTGACACACTGTCCACAGCAGTTGCAGAAACCGGTACTTTTAGGCTCATATATTTGATCATCAGTGCAGTCGCTGGCGTCATGAACAGTACAGAAGAATGGCACACACAGAAATCTACAAAAGATCGGAATATCTATGCTTGCAGCGGTGTATACGTACACCAGGACTAATAAAGCCACCTGAAACGTAAATAATTATACATTATTTTTACCACTTCACGTATTATTTATTTACGCTTTATTTCAAAAGTAATGCGCATCACCGGTGGACCACGGAACTATTTTGTTTAGTAGGATTCGAGGTTTTCACGGCGGGGAGTCAGATGGCTGTCTTCTGGGTTGTAGCGCCGTGTAGTCTGGTAGAAGTTTACCAGCGGTGATGGAAGCAGCAAGGACCTCTGAAACGCTGGTAAACGTCTGCCAGTTTAGCGTATCGTTTGTTGGAGACACAGTCTTCATGGAGTGAAATAACGTATTTCTAACGCCACAGCTGGGACAGGAAAGATGCATGAGGAGACTTATGTAAGCCACCGGATAGTTTGTTACATAGTTCACACAGTAAGAGTGCTGAATCTTTTTTTTTTTACCAGTATGGGGCGACGGTCACTGGTGGGGACACGGTACGAAATTTATGCATATCAAAAATTACTTCGGAGCCAACGTGTTAACTCGTGCGAATAGTAAATTTGTTTGAATTACCTTACCAAGAGTAGCATTCTACCTTCTTTACCAGTATTATAACCATAGTATGTAAAACATTTTATTGGATTTTCTGCATTAAAATTGGTCTGGCAAATTTAAATTTTGTTCATATCGGTAAAATTTGACCCCTATGTCACATGACACTAATTTGAACTGTAGTAATTTTGACTAAACGACTTGTACAGAATCATAGCAGTCCTTCAAAGAGAAGGACGTAGATTTTTCGCAATAGCTCGTCAACGCACCCCATCTTGAGCCGCGTAAATTCAATCATATTCTTTTTTTTAAAAAAATTGTTAATACTATCCTTCAATCATCGTAGGTCTTCCAAGTGTTTTCTTTTTATCAGGCTCTCCGATTAAAATGTATGCATTTCTTTGTGTTCCTATGCGTGCTAACTGTAGACCTATACCAGCAGCTTTTGTTTTGCTGCTATAGGATACAGGTTAGCGATATAGTTTTGTCACTGTCGGTCCTCAGGGATGTAAGGCAGCGCAGACTTACAGGTAGATGTCAACGTTTCGGAGAAACGTGTTCTCTCCGTCTTCAAACCTGAGGATGAATCAATATCTATGTTCTTCGAAACGTTGGTATCTGCAAGTCCACACAGCGTCACAACTCATGTACTTTGGTCCAGCTTGTCTCCTGAATAACAATAAAACCAGAAACGTGTGAGAAATTAATTAGCGTACCAAAATTGCCTTCATGATGTCTTCCAGATATTATGTGTGACTTCCACTTGCTGTGAACTGGCTACGGAAATAAAGTTATGGGCTGTCGTAATCTCGCTTTATATATTTTGCGTGTTTTGGAATGGCTACTTGCATGTCCATGTCGATATCAACCACGCGACATGTCAGTTGAAACCGGTTTGTTATCAAGTCCCTATGCTGTCATGTCTACCATCTCCACACCTGTGTAAAATTGTTACTTCAGAACCATTTTATACAAATGTTTTCTAACATATTAACCAAAACGAGAAAATAGAGATTCCATGGATTTCTCTGATAAGATGCTTATTTCTCATTTTGTTAAAATATTCTCTGGGTTGGCAACTGAGTTTGCGAATTCCTGCCTTTTGACCTTGTTCTGAGAAAGTTTAAATCGTCCGTGAAACAACACAGCTAAATCACACTACTAGAGGGAATCAACCTTCCTTTACACATTACACGCGTGTGTATATTTACAAGCTTTCTGCGAACACCACAAGTTAAGAACTACTGCATTAACTATTGTTTAATTTTATGTTGAATATGCTTGTTGTTTACGGAACTCTAGAGCTCAATGGGGATTTGTGTTGATGTAATTACGATATTTTACACACTGGCGGCGCAGATTATTTTTTTCGAAAGGTTAGTTTTCTGTATTGTTCGTTCAAAATAATTCTATATACAAATTTCACATGTTGGATTACAATTACTAATCATTTGTTACTGGCCTCCAGGGTTGCCGTACTAGTGGGGTTCCCGCCGTCAGGTGCTATCTGTTACTCACGAGGAAAGCTTTGACCTTGGCAGTGAGTGCCCACGAAGTCCGATAGCGGGAAGTCTGTGGCTAGGACGTCATCAGTTGAAACACATTTATTAAAACACTACATTATGCAGAGTAAAAGCCTTATATTTTGGACAATGCCCATCCCCCCTCCATTTTAATCCTCATTGTCAAGGTCATAACATTTCTCCTGAGTAACAAACATGAAGAAATTTGTTGCGTTATGAATTTAGGTTAAATAGCCGAACCTTTAGATTCTGTAGTTTTGATATGCGTGCCTGTACTTGTCTACGTAAGCGCGTTATCGCCATGACTTGGACTTGGCAATGTTGAGCTGATACGAAACTGGAAAACAACTCGTTGCTAAGGAAAGTTTTTCCACTTTTCATGGTCATATATATAAATGCTTTTGTCTGAAAATGAGGAAGTCGTCAGTATTTGAAAGCAGCGATAATATTCAAATGAAATGATAGCTATGACCTTGAAATTTGCCCATAGCGTGTCAAGAAACCGCCTCTCCTGTTGCGTTTTCAACAGTCTTTGGGATGTATTCACATGTGGAGAAGGAAAATGTGAAAGAAGACACCCATCATTATTATTGTTCATAACGAGCAATGAAAAATCCATATCAATTTTGAACGCTTGTACCTTTAGGCTTCACGGTGATTACCAATAATCACCAATTACATACACGGCGATTATGCGAGATTAAATGTTTTATCAAGAAAAAGTGAAGACAAAATCTGTAGTAATGTAGTCACACACAAAAGGGTATCAGTAACATTGCTTAATTTAATATTACTTATCTGATACCTCACAGTAAAAGTTCAAGGAAAAACAGGAGACATAATTTCTTCCGTTTTTTTGCAATTGTTATGAGTGGAATAATAATGCATGGGGTTTAAATTTGTACTCATAAAAAACTGTGATAATTCCTTACACTTACATCCTCTAGAATGCCAAGACATTTTTAGAAAACCATTATAAACAATGTCTGAAACAGCAATAAGGTAAAAGTTAGTAATGGAATACGTTACCTCTGTATTATCGATGCATCGCTGAAGTCTAGATACAGGATAATATTAATCCTTTAAAGCCGAGCGGTAACTATATATACCACCTGCTCTAGCAACCAGCAACTTAGCTTTTTATCGCTATTATTTCCTTGAACAGCATTAACCATTTGATCTTTTAAATTGTGAAGTGTTGTGTTTTCCTTGCGATACGGCCAAATTATTATGTATTACTTACAGTAAACGACTGTAATCTTGAAACTTGCGGGGTGAGGAAGTGGGGTGAAGGAGGAAGGAGAAAAGATAGCGTCAGCCTTTAACGCTTCGGACTCCTGCACTTCTTGCAAGTCTCAAGATTACAGTCGCTTACAGTCGGCGCAGTAGTTTTTGGCCGGTGGAATTTTCAAGGGGAAGGCTAGGAGCGAGTCACTTGTGCGATAATACAATGCTGACTGCACCGAGGAGCTTATCGGACTGAACGCCCAAACAAAAGAAATACACTGACCGTGCCACCTCAGGTACACAGTTTAGGCCCGCCCGCCAGCTCCGCTACTTTGTAAATAAGGCCTCATAGTATCCTGTCTTCTGATACTTAGCAAATACATAATTTCCCCTTCTTTTGTTTCGATTTTGTGTTGAATGCATGTTTGTCTGCTGTGTTGTTCAAAAGGATTTTTTCTGACCTGGCGTAACACTTTCCAAAATGCTGATTCCTCTCGGTGAGTTACACAACGCAATGTTATAATATGGCTCTCACACTTTAATAATTAGCCTAAAATTCTTACAGCTGTGTTTCAATAATTATTTTAAAATGCCAGACTATAAGCAGCGTACGCGTGCAACGGCACTGCTTCAAAGAATGAATTTTGACCGCTCCTTAGAGCTCAGCTGTACAATTCAGCTTCAACTAGCCGACACAAAACTGCGGTGAGGATGATTGTGATGTTCTGGGTTTTGGCGCCGTGTAGACTCATCAGTGGAGGCATCACCTTTGCTAGTATGTAGTGCAAGCACTAATTAAACTGGCGTGGACAATATCTAGGGTATACATAAATCTCATATATTTTATCAAATATACTACGTAGACTACAATATAGATAGATGGTAGCCTATAGTTTGAGTCTGCATAAACACGTTTTCCCACATTGATGTAAATACACATACACGATGAATATAATACCATACCACAAACTTTAATTACTCTTTTCTTTGCAGTAACACGCATTCAGAGAGTTTAACATTAGGAAGACTTGTTTGTTCAGACCAGCTGTCCTGAGAAGTTCTCTGATTTTTCTTATTACTTCCGGGCAGACCATACTACACTCCTCAAAATAATTAAGGGGTCAGGATTTCAAATGGTCGTAAATTTTCTTGGGCCTTTTTCAAATTTATTAAAATGTGGGTACTTTAGAGAATGGACCTTTATTTAAACAAAAATAGGCCTCTATATAACAGCAAACACAACTGAAGTATTGTTACACTGAACAGTTTTGAACCTACCATAAAAAAAGAATGGAAGTTTTATTTGCATCAAGTTTTTATGACACAATTTTAAGCTTTTTTTTTGGGGGGGGGGCATTAGTACGCCGTTGGACCCCCCTTTCAGCTCGAAGGACAGCTGTACAGCGTTGAGGCACCCTCCGGATGTGTTCCGGATGTCTATTTTGGGAATTTGCGCCCATACCTCCAAAATGGCATCTTCCAGGTCCCGCAGTGTGGTAGGTGCGTTCTGACTGTCTCTGACGCGTCTTCCCAGTACGTCCCACACATGCCCAATAGCTTTCATGTCTGGGCTGCGAGTTGGCCGTGGTAAAATGGCGATGTTGTGCTCTTTGGAGGTGTTCCCTGACGGTTCCTGCAACGTGAGGGCGGGCATTGTCATGCATTAGGAGAAAATTTTCTCCAAATGCCAATGCACGAGGACGCGCGAGGGTCCAGCACCTCGAGAATGCAACGCCGCGCAGTTCTGATGACGATGAGGTCGGTTTTGTCGTCAATCGAAATATCGGCGCACACCATTATGGAGCCAACACCAAAACTGACATTTTCCTGGACTGTGACTGGTAGGAAACGCTCTCCTGGCCGTCGCCAAACTCGGACGCGTCCATTGTTGCCCTGCAGCATAAATCTAAACTCGTCTGTGAAAAGACATTGCGCTAATGACGCAGATGCCAATGTTGATGTTCTTGGGCGAACTGTTTTCGCTCTCGTTTATGTTCCCTCGTCAATCGGGGCACTCTAGCGGGACGCCTGGACCTCAGATCCACATCTCGAAGACGGTTTCTCACTGTTTGGTCAAACACGTGTCGACCTGTAGTTCGGGAAAGGTCATTTTGAAAGGCCCGTGCAGTATCACTGCGGTGCCACAAGGCTTGTAGACGCAGAAAACGATCATCCCTAGCAGTTGTTGTCCTGTGATGACCCTGTCCTCGACGTCGAATGACCCTTCCAGTGTCTTGGTATCGGCGGCATAGTCGGATTGAACCACGCCGAGCTGTCCGGCAACATACCGTTGTGTTCGGCCTGTGTTGCTTCTATTGCTGGCACATGCCTCCTTACACCTTGCCGAACTTGCACATTGCACTGCATAACATCGTCAATAACAAACACAAGCAATGCTCTCCTTCATTCCTGTTTTCACTACCTTTACCCTCGTAGGCTTCTCTCCCTGAAATAACCAACTGTAACTGATCCCACCTTTCACAGTTGCACTCGTATCAGCATTGTTTACAACCCTGCAGAGTGCGCTTATTTCAGGTTCAGTCCAAGAAACTTTACAACCATTTGAAAACTTGATCCCTTAATTGTTTTGAGGAGTGTATTAAAGTCAGTAATGACTACTTCCATTCTTATTCCTTTTTTAATGTGTCATTTATAACCGTATTTAATAACCAGCAGCAGTAGTTTGCAAAGTCAAAAAATTTAACTATTTTATACACTGTGTGTTGAGGTTATGTAACAAAGTGTCTCATCACTTTATGATAAAATGGCAGCATTTTTGTAAATTTGGTGCATAAACTGTTATTCTCCTGTTCAGAATCTCATTAAACACGTACAAAATTGTGTATATGAGCAGTATTCATGACACTTATCTTTTCCATATATTTAAATCACATTAATTTCTATTGCCAGCTTATATTAGAAATTGCAATTCATACAGCATTGGATGCAGTAAGAGATGCCACATTTTAATGTAATGTCATGGAAGAAGTAACGGATGGTCTCCAGTTTTGCTAGAAGCAACTGAAAATTCTACAGTTCGTCAAATTAGAATGTTTTTTATTTATAGTAACCGAAGGCAAAATCTGAAACTGTGTTTGGATTTAGGACGATATTATGTCATCATAGGGACTTTGTTCTGTTTTACAAGTAAGAAATCTTTCATATTTCTGTTGGAATGTACCAGGGATTGGGGACCATTGAATGTTAATTGTGGACATTACAATATAATGAAACTGAAGAACTAAAGTATTTATCTGTTGTAACAATAAAAGTCTCATATAAGTAGTGGGTTGTTAATTCCAGGACACTAAACTTATAATACTCCTTACGTGATACATGATCATCATCATCGGGGATTAGGCACTAATGCCTATTCCGGCTTCAAATTGATTTTTCCATTTTCTTCGTGGTCGACCTCGATCTCTTTTCCTGCTAGGTTTGTAACTGAGCACAGCCTTAGGAAGTATGATACATGAATAATCCATCAATTTTACCATTCACTTTGCAAATGGAAGAAGCCGAAGTATTCACGAATAACTTTCGTTTGGTTTGGACAGTTCATCGAGACTATCGTAGCCTTAGGATCATACACTCAAATATTACAACACAGCATATTTTTTTAATTATGTGGGCTAAAAAACTCTGGCTTATCTAACCCTCCTACCCCACAACAAAATTAGCATTTTGATTCTTATTGTTCTTATAATGTGTGAGCATGTGCATGTGTGTACACATGTACAAGGAACATTCTTTCCAATTGTATTAGACCGACTAATTTAAATGCCCTCTACATTTTAGTACTTGATTACCCGCCACGGTGGTCTAGCGGTTAGAACGATGGGCTTGTAATACTGGGGTCCCAGGTTCGATTCCCGGCGGTGCTCAGATTTACAACTTGTGTTGGGCAAGGCCGTGGTCCAGGCATCACGGAGTTTTCCTCCGGGGTTTCCCCGGTTTCTCCATCGCAAAAAAGGGGGTCACAGCAGGAGCGTTAAATGTCGCGGTCCCGATCGAACCCATGTACTGATGGGTCGTGAATCCTGCTAACCACCAATGCACACCATGCTGAAGTACTTGATTCATGACAGATAATTGTACAGTCTACTGCATTAGTCACTAAAGTGGATTAAGGTACAAATTTCATATAGTTTTATGAAGATTTGGTCTGGTATGGTTCCAATAGTGATCATCCCACAAAAATTAAAGTGAATATTAATAATGCATTCATATTTATTACAGATAATTTTACACAAATTCATTATTTTATCCCCACATGATATTAATACAGTACTCCATTGATGTTTAATATGACCATAACTAACATCATATGTATGTATTATTTTTCACTACATGGTATAGAATAACAAAACGAAATCCAAGTAAAAGGCTCAGTAATCAGTTGTGGTTCGCACATATGAGATGCCTGATGGCATGGTGACCTTGTCCACGCCCTTGGGGAACAACTTGGGTAGATCCTCGTCCTTCACATGAGGTAGGATCATCACCTTCGTGCCGGGCTGAGAACAGACAAGCAGTCAACTTCAGATGTACAGGCAGACAAAAATACTTCTTGTTTCAAAATGCTTGATATTGCCTATAAACACTCACCGTCCAGTTTGCAGGAGTTGCTATGACCTTCAGCCTGTCCGTGAGCTGCAGGGAATCAATCACTCGAAGAATTTCGCTGTAACCGAAACAAAGCAGCATGTCAACATTTATAATTTAAATTTCTGTGCATTTACAAAGAGTTCTTTGCTCTTTTAACTGGTACTGTAACCTTACACATCTGTTTTGTTATCAAGAATCTGGCTTAACAGAGGAGAGCAAGGCAAGCTTTGGCCCAGTGTTGCAAAGTCTGCACATTCTGAGTTTGAAATCAGGCTTTGATCTTGAAATATATCTGAAAGCTTTAAAAGTGTTTAAATTATTCCATAAAATTAATCTGTGGTGGAAATATTGAGGTTATATATTTATAAAAGCTAAAAAATTAATTTAGATAACATTTAATTTCGAACGTGAGCTACCGTACAGAATGCCTTGCTAACAAAAAGGAATTTATCTTTCTTCTGTTTAAATCTAACTAGTTACACAAAAAACCTTAGTACATTTCCAAAACATAAATAAATTCGTGGCGTAACAGCTCCAGAGAGCCAAAGTCGACTAGCTTGACTGCTGGCCTCACGTTCACATGCCTAAGCAGAGGTGAACGATCATCCAACCAGATACAGGGTGACGTGTGGTCAGCACGACGAACCCACAGCCATTGCTAGTTTCCTGACCGGATTACGCTACTCATTGTAGTTTCCCAATTTACTCACGATGCTGGGTTGGCATCGGTCCCATACACGGTCGAAAGCTCATGAGAAAATTTCTTTCACCGAGACTCGAACCAGCGCGCATTCCGCATCGCCGGTCCGAAGCATGATGCCTCAGACCGCGCGGCTACGGCACGGGATAAAACATAAATACGTCATGTAAAATTTATTTTGCCCACCTGAAGTGTAAATGACTGTCCAATTTGCTATTTCATACAAAAACAGTGGTGGATTCAAGTATACACAAGTAGGCATCTGTTTGATTTGCAAAGTTGTGAGTAGGACATTTAAGACAGCAAACCAAGATCCTGATAGAATGCATGTTGGGGTGAAAGTAGAAATTCTAAGAAGATTCCTTACTGCTCATTGCCAGAATGTTTAGATTAGCATTGAAACAATAAAGTATAGTTGTCAAAGTGTGGTTATACTATATACAGTTCTGCCATTAATTTTCTCACTATCCATCTAAGGCCAAGGACTAGCAATCATTTCTTAAAAGCAGATTACATTAATGTTGGTACGAAAATCACTTCATTTGAGGGCATCCTAGAACCATGCAAGACAAATTTTTCAAATACCTCATGGCAATGCAAAAGTTACAAAATAATCTACAGTCTGTTCGCTGTTCAAGTTATGTGTTCCTTCTGTAAGACCATAATATGAAATTCTAAAATCAAACTGTCTTACTATAACATCACTATGTCAGGAAAAAAATATTGTACAGTCGTGTGGTCCTTAGAATGCTGGTCATTACTGTACATCATCATCATCATCATCCAATGGCTCTACAGCCCATATCGGGCCTTGGCCTCCTCAATTTTCTGCCTCCATGAAGACCTATTATTTGCGGCCATTTTCCAATTTCGACATTGGATCAGACCGGCAGCATCCCGTCTCACAGTCTCATGAGGTTTCTCAACAATTGATTTTTACGGGGTGTGTTATCGGCCACACGCCCAACCAGAACCGATGGAGCGGTTTGAGACACCTTTCGTCTGGCCCCTAAGCATTAACCTGTCCGGCAAGGTTAGACCTACCAGTAGCTAAGCTACCGCGGGCATAGCTCTCCGCCACCATTACTTAACATAACGTGTAGCGGTGAGTCTGAAGATTTCTGTCTTCTGGGTTATTGCGCCGTGTAGTATGGTAGATTTCTACCAACGTTTCAGAGGTCATATTGCCTCCGTGATCTGGGCGAGGCCAGGTTTATAGGGACCGGACAGTAACCGTGTTCGGAAAGTGTATTCCGTAATACACATAATACCCTTATGCATCCTTTGCAACATGTTTTTGGTGGTATAAAATTTGCCTTATTCAATGTTACTCACTTTGACCACCAACTCTTCACTTTCGGGTCTAATAGCCACAGAATAAGTGTAAATTCTGATATTACTCACTCAACATTCCTGCCAGTTGATGCTGGGTACAGCATGGACAGCCTGAGCTTGTGATCCGGCCCAATGATGTACAGAGCACGAACAGTCATGGCTTCTGCCTCATTAGCTTTGTTGTCCTCATCAATCATGTCCAGTTTGACTGCCAGTTCCCGGGTCTCATCTGCGATGATGGGATATGGAAAGTCACCAGGAATGTCGTGGCAGTAAGATTTGATGTCCTACAGTGAAAGAAAATATGTCTAATCATCATGCACGTAGCGTATAAATATATTACTTTAAATGGAATTCAGAAGTTAGATTGTGAATTATCCATCAACCCATATATTACCTATTATTTTCATTTCCACAGAAACCAAAAATCTCGCAAAATATAAAATATTTCAGAGAGATGATGGAAACAGTTTGCCGTGAACAATGATGCCGTTTTCGGAAAACTACACAAGAGCGTAAAATACAGTTTATGAACAAGAAGAGAAAAAACAACAAAGCCTACTTGAAGGCATAATCAAATGGTTCTGCAGATATAAAAATACCATTGTGAGCTTATCAGTGTTTCAGATATTAATTTTCAATTTATTAAAAAATGTAATTGAAATCAAAAGTCAGCTGAGATGGATGGGCAATTATAATGAACCTGTAGCTAATATGTCATTTCGCAAAATTGACTAAAACAAACGATGTTTACTTAAATTTTGGTTTCACATGTGCACAAAACATTAATAAGCCCTTGCACTTTATGATTTGTATACCAGTAATATTCTTCAGATTTCAGTAATTTTCAATAAATAAATGAAAACTATATACAGATCACACGAATTAATTTAGACTTGCATGTGGTTTCTGTAAGAAAGGGGAATTATTAATGCTTTAATTAATGACCTGATTTTCATATGACTAACAAAGGCAAGTACATCATGTAAGTTGCTGAATTTTCGTGAAAGTAACTGTAATAGAGCACAAGAATTTTTTTTTTGCAGAGGCATCACTGATTTACGCTAAAGAATAAAAATGATAATCTTCATAACTGGTTGATTCTTTTTCTGTTTCAGAGATGTTAATAAGCTGAAAATTTGATCACAAATGGTGAACAGAAAAGGATTAGAAAGGATGAAGTTGCAGCAAACATAAATACGTCATGTAAAATTTATTTTGCCCACCTGAAGTGTAAATGACTGTCCAATTTGCTATTTCATACAAAAACAGTGGTGGATTCAAGTATACACAAGTAGGCATCTGTTTGATTTGCAAAGTTGTGAGTAGGACATTTAAGACAGCAAACCAAGATCCTGATAGAATGCATGTTGGGGTGAAAGTAGAAATTCTAAGAAGATTCCTTACTGCTCATTGCCAGAATGTTTAGATTAGCATTGAAACAATAAAGTATAGTTGTCAAAGTGTGGTTATACTATATACAGTTCTGCCATTAATTTTCTCACTATCCATCTAAGGCCAAGGACTAGCAATCATTTCTTAAAAGCAGATTACATTAATGTTGGTACGAAAATCACTTCATTTGAGGGCATCCTAGAACCATGCAAGACAAATTTTTCAAATACCTCATGGCAATGCAAAAGTTACAAAATAATCTACAGTCTGTTCGCTGTTCAAGTTATGTGTTCCTTCTGTAAGACCATAATATGAAATTCTAAAATCAAACTGTCTTACTATAACATCACTATGTCAGGAAAAAAATATTGTACAGTCGTGTGGTCCTTAGAATGCTGGTCATTACTGTACATCATCATCATCATCATCCAATGGCTCTACAGCCCATATCGGGCCTTGGCCTCCTCAATTTTCTGCCTCCATGAAGACCTATTATTTGCGGCCATTTTCCAATTTCGACATTGGATCAGACCGGCAGCATCCCGTCTCACAGTCTCATGAGGTTTCTCAACAATTGATTTTTACGGGGTGTGTTATCGGCCACACGCCCAACCAGAACCGATGTCTCATGAGGTTTCTCAACAATTGATTTTTACGGGGTGTGTTATCGGCCACACGCCCAACCAGAACCGATGGAGCGGTTTGAGACACCTTTCGTCTGGCCCCTAAGCATTAACCTGTCCGGCAAGGTTAGACCTACCAGTAGCTAAGCTACCGCGGGCATAGCTCTCCGCCACCATTACTTAACATAACGTGTAGCGGTGAGTCTGAAGATTTCTGTCTTCTGGGTTATTGCGCCGTGTAGTATGGTAGATTTCTACCAACGTTTCAGAGGTCATATTGCCTCCGTGATCTGGGCGAGGCCAGGTTTATAGGGACCGGACAGTAACCGTGTTCGGAAAGTGTATTCCGTAATACACATAATACCCTTATGCATCCTTTGCAACATGTTTTTGGTGGTATAAAATTTGCCTTATTCAATGTTACTCACTTTGACCACCAACTCTTCACTTTCGGGTCTAATAGCCACAGAATAAGTGTAAATTCTGATATTACTCACTCAACATTCCTGCCAGTTGATGCTGGGTACAGCATGGACAGCCTGAGCTTGTGATCCGGCCCAATGATGTACAGAGCACGAACAGTCATGGCTTCTGCCTCATTAGCTTTGTTGTCCTCATCAATCATGTCCAGTTTGACTGCCAGTTCCCGGGTCTCATCTGCGATGATGGGATATGGAAAGTCACCAGGAATGTCGTGGCAGTAAGATTTGATGTCCTACAGTGAAAGAAAATATGTCTAATCATCATGCACGTAGCGTATAAATATATTACTTTAAATGGAATTCAGAAGTTAGATTGTGAATTATCCATCAACCCATATATTACCTATTATTTTCATTTCCACAGAAACCAAAAATCTCGCAAAATATAAAATATTTCAGAGAGATGATGGAAACAGTTTGCCGTGAACAATGATGCCGTTTTCGGAAAACTACACAAGAGCGTAAAATACAGTTTATGAACAAGAAGAGAAAAAACAACAAAGCCTACTTGAAGGCATAATCAAATGGTTCTGCAGATATAAAAATACCATTGTGAGCTTATCAGTGTTTCAGATATTAATTTTCAATTTATTAAAAAATGTAATTGAAATCAAAAGTCAGCTGAGATGGATGGGCAATTATAATGAACCTGTAGCTAATATGTCATTTCGCAAAATTGACTAAAACAAACGATGTTTACTTAAATTTTGGTTTCACATGTGCACAAAACATTAATAAGCCCTTGCACTTTATGATTTGTATACCAGTAATATTCTTCAGATTTCAGTAATTTTCAATAAATAAATGAAAACTATATACAGATCACACGAATTAATTTAGACTTGCATGTGGTTTCTGTAAGAAAGGGGAATTATTAATGCTTTAATTAATGACCTGATTTTCATATGACTAACAAAGGCAAGTACATCATGTAAGTTGCTGAATTTTCGTGAAAGTAACTGTAATAGAGCACAAGAATTTTTTTTTTGCAGAGGCATCACTGATTTACGCTAAAGAATAAAAATGATAATCTTCATAACTGGTTGATTCTTTTTCTGTTTCAGAGATGTTAATAAGCTGAAAATTTGATCACAAATGGTGAACAGAAAAGGATTAGAAAGGATGAAGTTGCAGCCTATGACCCCTGGCATTTGCCTGGAGAAACTGAATAAAACCATGAAAACTATCAGAATAACCGGTCAATCAGCCATGAGATGAACCAAGTACTTCCAGAAAATAACTCCAGAACTTCACTGCTTACTCAGTGGGACGTTTTCATACGCAGTGTGCGGGCAAGTATTCTGAAGCAAAGTGTAAGAGCTTTGTACAATTATGAAAAGAGTTATACTGTATATGACTTACTGCAACCCAGTCACTGTGAGACTTCAATTTGTCACAAGAGTGAGCTATAACCTTAACTCCTCGCTTCTTAAACTCATGGTCGTGAACAGCAATGCGTCCCAGCTCCGTGGTGCAAACAGGTGTGAAGTCTGCAGGATGTGAAAACAGCAAGCACCAACTGAAAGTGTAGCATTGGTTACTGGTTACTGCAGTTATACGTTGTTCATTATATGTATTGCTACAATAATGGCACCAATTAAAAATTGAAGTAATTGTACGTATGAAAAAGTATATTTTCTAATGTAGACAGTGATGTACATCATTTCATGGTTTCTTTGTGGTATTAACTCACTGAACAAGGCATTTTTAAAAAATCAAACAAAAAAGTAACGAACAGAATTATCATCATCATCATTGTCGTGTTGTATTTATTTTTTCAACCACAGCGAAAACTGTGCAAAACAAACCGATAATTCTAGACTACTTACGAGTTCCCTTGCCACTCGTGGAACTTGATGGATCCACGCGTGGTGTTGGCCGTGAAGTTGGGAATGGTAGCGCCTAGCCTCATCTTGACGAACCGCGAAACACTGGAGCGTCGACTGGTTATCAGAGCACTGTGGAGTAGACTGATGCTGTATCTTGGACGACTTCGCGTTATATACCAACTGTTAGAACAGCTCAGTCATCGGTGTCATGCTGCAAACTGCTCCGTTGTTTGGTTGTGTGTCGTCACACGTAAACATTACACAGCACATGAAGTTAGCCTATACTACGTGCCAAGCGAGTTGTGATATTCGATAGAAGTCCTCTAATCGCCTTGTTGAACCTTTCCCTGTCACGTGTTTTAACAAGATTAAACCTTCGTTTTCAGTTTCCACGGCAACTATAATGTCAATCGTTAAAAAGCTTGAGAAAATTATTTCATTTGATTTTTACAGATGAGGGAACACGTTTGTTCCCATTGACGCTGTCGGGTATGTCAGCAGCAAGAGGAGGTTGATCTAAAGGTTAAAGGACGTGTACTGAATGGGGCTTGCTGACTCTGAACACAGAAACAATGTAAGAGGTAGGTCTAGAAGGAAACGCTGCATAAATAAGTGTATGATCACATGACGTCGCCAAAATACAGAACAAAATCACAACATGCAGATATAAACCCATCGAAAATGAGGCTGAGTTGAAATATTTGGGGACAACAGTAAAAAAGTCAAATTTCAGCCATGGATAAATTAAGAGCAAGTTAAATTCACAAAATACTTTTCATTCAGTTCAGAACACGTCTCTAAATATAAGGATTTAAATATCATTTTGCCTGTTTTGTATGGACATGTGGAGTGGCTTCTACACGTAAATCTTTAAACTTGACTAAAAAGTTTTAGCCACGAGGAAGGAACCTTGGTAGACGTAGAAAGACAGTCCTGCTTGTACAAATCAGCCATAAGCAGTTTACATAAATGACCGTAACATGCTTATTCTTCTGTTATATTACTCTTACTGTAGTTATCACGCACCATGGCATAAAGCGATGTAAACAAACGTAGCTGTTAAATCGAGTACTCTGACATGGGAACGCTGTTTTAATATTGTCCCAGAGGAATTAAACTTGAACGAACTTTGAACCAGTCAACGCTCTATACTGCGTATTTAAAATCCAGGCTATAAATGCACGTAGTGGGCTGCTTAAGCCTGAGTATTTTAACGGAACTGTTCATACAAAACGTGAATAGAATTCTGAGTCGTGTAAATAGTGTCAACTGCGTGTGTAGGCCTACTCACATTTTCATTCGTTGTAGTATACCATATTCAGAACTAGTTTAAACGAATATTACTGATCACATGAACTCTATAGTTTATATCGCGTGACTGTCTTTTATACAAGAGTAATTTTTTTTTAGATTTATTGTAAATGTCGATTTGAGCTCTCATAAAGCAAAGGTTACAATTTATCGGTACGTACCGAAATACATTTTATTTTACATTTACTCAGATATTTAATACCAGATTCCATCAAAATCAGTTAATTTGTTTGGTCCGAACCGTTTGGGAGATGAAACAATTTAAAAAAGCAGCCATGACTTTCTGTATTTTTGCTTCTTGCTTTGGTGACTGGGTTCCATAGTTTATTACAAAGGTGTGGCAAAATTTATTTAGAACCCACAAGTTGGGATGACATTATAAGACCAGGAATTCTGTTCTCTTAATGTGTTTTTTTTAGATAAAGTAGTGTGGAGAAAGTTACATACGAAGAGCTTTACAATTTGTGCTGTCGAATTAATTTTGTTAAGGTAATCAAATAAAAAGATGTTTAATATAACAAGCAGGACAAAAAAATGTAACGCGTTTAAAATTTCCGCTTGAAATTTAAAAGAAAGACAGGTTTCAAACGCTTGCCTCGGTTTTAATCACCGAAGTTCAAAGTAAGTGAACAAACAACACACTACTTTTAGCCCTAAGCACTGACGGAAGTTTGGAAATAAAAAAAAATCGAGAATCGGTGTCAGCGGCTTGAATTACACAGCATCATTCTACCACGTTAGTTATCTTCGCCATACACGAACAGAATATTAATTTCCAACCTTGGGCCCCGTAGCTATCCAACAGAACTAGTGGCTTCGCAGAACTGCGCCTGACTTGTATTCAGTTTAAAAAACATTATTTGGTATAGTAGGTCTGTATCAAAAACACAAAATCGATCATTTTGAGCTCTTTGTACAGTGAACGCCAATAGGGTAGAACCTAAGGAACGGATTTCGATTAAACTTGTTACTGATAGTCTACACCAAAATGTAGCCCTGCTGGTAAATAAATTTTGGTTCCTGTCTGCCCAATGTATGTCTCGCTCTAATTGCAGCTCAGACAGAATTTTTGGACCTTTCATAATAATGGTGCTTTATTATGAAAAACGTTGTTAGTTGTAAAATATAGGTCTCATTATTAGAACTTTTATTTGACGTTTTTATGTGTGGTGAATATTTGATGAAATAGAATTGGAACTCCAGTGTTGATTATTCAGTGTGATAATTTGTGGCGTGAAAAAATATGTTCCCTGGGACATAAACAGCAGCAGGTTTGAGGTCAAGTCGGCCTTGTGTGTGACACACTTATGATCGATCAGTCGATATGAAATATATTTTATAAATTTTGTAATATTCATTTGCATGTGGATGATGATGCCAAAACAACGTTCCTTGTTTCTGCCTACGTTTATCATACGGACAAGCAACAACAAACATGACTCAGATGACAGTGCTGTATCTCCATCACTGTACAAAGTGAGTTCGTTACAAGTCGTTACCAGTCCGGAAGCTGCAATGCACTTGTGCCGACCGGCCGACCGAGGGCTGACTGAATGATGTCGCCCATACGCAACCGAAGGGGGGGGGGGGGGGGGGGGGGAGGCCAGATCGGCACAAAGAGTGGTCGAACAAATCGGCTTCGATGACTGAGGTTTTCCTCCGTTGTAAGCAAATGCACACCCTCCACAATCACGGAGGTCTTCAATTGAAGTGTTCTCCCCAAATTGTCTGATGGGATAATCTCCCGCCAGTAGCAACAGCCCCTAGTCTGAAAAAGTCAAGGCCTTCCGCCAGGACAAAATTCCCGTTGTCGTAAGCATATCACCGTTTTAGTTATAAAGCTCTGTTTACCATTTCCAGCAATGCGTTACGTACGCAGGAATGGTATTACCTACCATGGGCCGATGTTTTGCGCTTGCGCAGGATTTCACCCTTGGTTTTTTTGGTTGGGTTTATTAGCTCATGGTCATGTGCACACGGAGCAAGATTAGGTTTGGTGCTATGATTGAAAACTTCTCAGCTAATACAGCGTAGGGATTTATCAAGTTCCATGAGTGGCAGGGATACTCGTAAGTGGGTACTTCAGAATTTTAGGCTTCTTTCACATAATGTTATGCATGGTCGAATAATAATAGTCTGTCCCTGTCCCAAGCATCATTCTGTGCAGGTGTATATAACCTATCGATAGTTCGAGATACAGGATAAGAGGATTGTGGGCTAGGTAGAGTAGCAAAGAAAAAGGTACATCATACTTTTGTTTATTTGATCTGCCAACTCAAAACGTTTTTTAGTCACAATGTTGTTGATATTATTTATCTTAATTTTTTTTGTAACGGTATTACACAACTTCAACGTGCGAGCTACTAATAAAATCATATGAGTGTCTGATTAAGTCAACAGGCATCTACAGTTGATTACTATCTGCTCAATGGCAGTTTCACAAAACCCCACCATTCATTTGCACAAATTGTATAATTATAAAAAACTGGCAAATTATGGCTTTTGTTCATTCATACGTCTATCAAATGGTGAAATTAATATTAATAATAACAATTATACTGTGTGTATAACATAATACTTGGCCTTAGTGATAAAAATATAGTGTTAGTGCATGGATTATATAACAGATAATTTTCACAAAAAATGAAATAATATTGTGACTGCAAATTTAGCAAGGTACTGACCTGAAAACACTCAAGGGAAATATACCGGTCAGAATGATTACTTACAAACTATTGTGTGAAATATTTATTACATGCAGAGCCATCCCTAGAGAGGTGAATCAATCTATGCGGGGGCCCCTCAATATACTTACTTACATTTCTGTCTTTTGATGTCATATTTCTCAAAACAAAAAAATTGATGTTGCATGTCACTGTGCTGCATTGTGTAGCCCTTCTATCCGAAGCAATGGAAGGAATAAAGAAATTTAGATGTTTAGTTTGGAGAGTTATGTATTTCTGTGTAGGATGACAGTGAGTCTGGAGGTGGCTGTCTTTTGGTTTGTTGTGCAATGTACACTGGTAGAAGTTTACCGACATTTCAGAGGTGCTCTGAAACATCGGTAAAGTTGTAGGATTTGAGGTTTTTTTGCAGCGGTGAGTCTGAAGATTGCTGTCTTCTGGGTTATTGCGTCGTGGAGTCTGGTAGATTTCCACCAACATTTCAGAGGTCATACTGCCTTCATTATCAGGGCGATGAATTCATAACCCAGAGGACAGCAATCTTCATCGGTAAAGTTCTTTCCAAAGTGCAAAGGTTACTACTTTACTTTGCAATTTAGTATTGGAATTTGATTTTAGACTTTCCTCTGTCATTATTGTTTATATTGACTTGATATTATAGTGCTTTTTATGGTAGTATGCAGCACGCACTGTTTCTTCAAAATATGGAAAGAGATTGTCAAAATATATCAAAATTGTTGGACATAACATTATACTAGTAAGTGGCATATTGAAGCAGTGCATTGAAGACTTTTTATTATGTTCCATCACGTAGTGTGTTTATATGTCAGAAATCTCTTCTGGCTTTTAACCATGAGATTTAGTCTCATCACTTGTATTATTTCTCATCTTTCTTACAGTCTTTTGCCTTTGGTGTATAAATGCCTTGTCCAGCCATAATGTGGCCTGGATACAAAATATTTACAGCTGTAGAACACATTTATGAAACAATAAACTTAATACTGAACCAGGTATACATACGAAGCTCCTTTTCTGAATAGACTTACAGTTTCCAGTGTTTTCAGTTAAAGTTATGGCTTTAACAGACCCAAATTTAAGTACCACTGTATAAGAGTGACAGATTATGTACAAGTAAAATTTTATATAAATGAAAAGGATATTAAGACAATTTTAAACAAAATGTATCATTAAATAATCCGTGAACTGGCCCATGAATGTTGTCATGTGATGTGACGGAATTAGTTCTGTAGTAAGGAGTACAATCACATTTTCCACAATTCATTGTTGTTTCATTGATTTTATCAAGTAGGACAAAACTTGTGTCCTTGTTCTAAGTACAGAAGTAAATGTGGAGACAATCATAATAATATTTTGTGGTGCAGTTAGTTTATTTTCCTTGTGAAGATTTCTGTCTTCTGGGTTATTGCGTCATGTAGTCTGGTAGATTTCCACCAACATTTCAGAGGTCATACTGCTTCTGTCATCAAGGTGATGATCATCGCCCTGATGACGGAGGCAGTATGACCTCTGAAAAGTTGGTAAGCTTCTACCAGACTACACAGCGCAACAACCCAGAAGACAGAAATCTTCATACTCACCGCTGTGAAAACCTCAAATCTTACATATTTTTCTTGTGTTCTGGTTTTTCTACTGTATTTGTCATGGACAGTATTTGAACAGACAAAAGTCATATGTGATTTATAAAATCCTGTCATGAACCATATTGTTTCTCTTCACTTGTACTGCATAAATAGAGCAGTTTAATGTTGCTTTCACAACATGCTTTTCCTAGGGAGGACTGGCAAACTTCCTGAAGTAGCTCATGTCTGATGAAGTGTTTGATGATGTGGCATACAAAGCCTGCAACTATAATCATCTGCTCTCAACAAATGAATTCCTGGATACAGAAACAGTGCTCTGTCAGGATGGAGCCTCCAACTGCAGACTCTTCTCAGGTATTTCTATAATATTTATTCATTTTACAGACAAACAGATTCTGAGATAAATTGTTTTAATCCAACAAACAAATATAATCTGAAATACATACCCTGCAGCGTAATATCCTGGTCTGTTACGTTGAATTCTTGATTTTTCTCCACACACTCTGTTCAATGTATGTTCACTTGAATGACATGTTTCAAACTAATGTTTCCATCATCAGGTTCAGTTCCCTGCTTCTGTGCCATTGCACTAAGGATCTCCTCCCAGATGTCAGAAATAATGATAAAATTATATGTTAAAATGTTTTTAATCCATCAAAGTTGGTTAAAAAGTAAAATGCCAAAATGATTATCACAAGTGTTTTAAGTTATTTTTAGCATGGCTTGGTGTGTCCCAGTGTGTTTCCTCTGTAAACAGAAAAATATTTTTTGTTTCTGTTATGTGGTATGTATAAATATGTAGTAGTGGAGTGTTATGTCACCTGAGTTGTATGTGTTGTGGTGTGTTATAGAATGGTGCAATGATGCACACATAAAACGTTTAACTGACTTAACTGAACAGTGCATGTCAAAAGTGACATGCAGAAAAGTACAAAATTCATACTTGCCCTGTTTGCCAAAACATAACCTAATTTCACAGAATTCTCCCCACCTGAATTTCTTTTCTTTTTCAATTTTAATACTAAGTCAAATTTTTCCTAATAACATCAATTAGTGCCTGAACACTTGCTGTTGTGACATGGATTTTATGATTTAATAGCACAGTATTCTGCTCAGTGCTTACATTCTGCTCATTATTACTTATAAACAGCTGTTTTGTCATACAAGAAAAATGTTGAGTGTTTTTACTTATTGATCGTGTAAAATTCATCCCAGTAAAGTATTTTGCTTTGGGGACGACTCTTCTGGGACATTGCACTTTGTATTTTGGTAGATATTAATTGACGATTTAGAGGATTTACTGACTGCATCATCACCATGATGTTTGAAACATTAGTTAGTATCTACAAGAGTGTGCTGTGCAACATCAAAAAGACAACCATCTTCACATTCATTACCATGAGATTCTCATTTCTCACCAAGTATATATTTTTATTTATTTATTTACAAGTTCCAAGAATCCAATAGTGGATATAGAACACGTCACAAACTCAAGTATAAAAACATAAAATACATACATTAAAAAATTACATCTAGACAAGCAGCGTACTAAATTCAAGACAATATAATTAGTATTTTTATTACAATAGTTATCCAATTAAGTACTCATCCACAGTGTAAAACGAGTGAGTAATTAAGAAATGCCTTAATGCAACCTTGAACTTTTTAAAATTATTTGAGGTATTCTTAACCTCTGTGGGTAATTTATTAAATATCTTTATACCCGCATAGTGAACTCCTTTCTGATAAATAGTTAAATTGGCTTGAGGTAGATACACATTTTCTCTCTGTCTAGTATCAATAGTATGAGAGTCAATGTTTGATGGAAAAAGAGTTTTGTTTTGTAATACAAACAATAATAAAGAAAATATATATTGTGATGCCAACGGTAAGATATCTAATTCTTTGAATATATTTCTACACGATACTCTATTGCTACATCCCATCATTGTTCTAATTGCCTTTTTCTGAAGGAGAAAAATAGTGTAACTACTAGATGAATTTCCCCAGAAAATGATGCCATAGCTCATTAAGGAATGAAAGAAAGCATAATAAATTGTCTTTAGTACTGAAATAGACATATATGGTTTCATATTTCTAATTACATAGCAAGCCTTGCTCAATTTTTTAATAAGTAGATCAATATGATTCTTCCAAGTTAATGCACCATCAATCATAATTCCCAAGAATTTAGTACAGAAGATATTATTAATGAATTTATTATTATAACTTATTGTAACAGTATCTGACATTTTTCTCTTAATTTTAAAATTAATATAATGTGTCTTATTAAAGTTTAGTGATAATCTGTTCATTCTAAACCATCTATTTATATTTTCAAATGTTGCATGAATGTGTTTATTAAAGTCGTTTGTATTAGAATGAGAAAATAGGATGCTAGTATCATCAGCAAAAATTATAGGTGTAGCAAATTTAGTTATTATACTGGGTAAATCATTTATGTATAAAAGAAACAACAAAGGTCCCAATATAGACCCTTGTGGAACTCCATATCTAACTTTAAGCCAATCCGAGGCTGTATTGTTACTGTCATTAGTATGTAATACTGTTCTAATGTATCTGTTATTTAAGTAAGATTCATAAAGTGCGTGATCTTTCCCATTGATACCATAAAATTTAAGCTTAAATAACAAAATTTCATGATCAACACAATCAAAAGCTTTTTCCAAATCACAGAAGATGCCTCCCACTATTTGTTTGTTATTCATGGCATTTAAAATCTCTGTAGTCAATTTATAGATTGCATTATCTGTTTTTAATCCTTTCCTAAATCCATATTGTTCAGTACTTAAAATATTGTATTTATTGAGATGATCCAAAATTCTTGAGTACATTATAGTTTCAAATATTTTTGAAAAAGATGTTAAAAGTGATATAGGTCTATAATTAGACACATCATATATATCACCATTCTTATATAATGGTTTTATTAATGCATATTTTAATCTATCCGGAAATACTCCTCTCCTTAACATTTTATTGCATATATAATTGGTAGGTGAACTTATAAATGACGAGCTTATTTTTAAAATCATAGGTGGTATCTCATCATATCCATGCGATTTTTTTAGTTTAAGGGATTTTATTATTTTTTTTATTTCTTTGTTCGTACAGCATTTGGAATTCATATTTGGGTATGGATTAGAAAAAGCTTGGTTCATGAAATGAATATAATTTTCATCATCATTAATATCATTTGCAATTACGGGATTATTAATATCTTGTAGTTTTATTTTCTCTGCAATGTTAACAAAATAATTATTAAATTTTTCAGCAATAGTTTGTTGGTTATTGAACTTCTTACCATCAATTTTTAGTGTTTTTATTTCAACTCTATTTGTATTTCTACCTGCTTCTTTATTTATAATACCCCAAGTAGTTTTAATTTTATTATCAGAATTTAGAATGCATTTATCATACTCCATTCTTTTTGCCTCTTTTATAACTGTGGTCAATATTTTAGAGTAATTTCTGTAATAAGTTTTAAGAGTAGGATCCTTATTATTCCTTAATTTATTACAAAGTTCTCGTTTATGTTTACAGGACATTAATATTCCTGGTGTAATCCAAGAATTATTTTTCTGTTTACATTTTATCTGTGTCAAAGGGAAGCTGGAATAGTAAATTTTTAAGAAAATATTTAAAAATGTGTTAAAATTATGATTATTATCATTTTCATCAAAAACTAATTCCCATGTTTCCTGACTTAGTTTTAATTGAAAATCTGTTATAGTATCGTTATTTATTAACCGTTTTATATAAGTATGATATCCTTTTCCCTGTTCCTGTGCCTTATGAAGTATTAATACTTGGGCATCATGATCTGATAGACCATTTATAGAGGGGTATATCTCATATTTTCCAATACTGTTTATATCAATGAAAAAATTATCAATTACAGTGCATGAGGAGATGCCAACTCTAGTGGGGAATGTTACAATACTAGTAAGATTATATGATTGTAGGACAGCATCAAGTTGCTTCTTTCTGTTATCATCATTTAAATAATTTACATTTATATCACCACATATAATTATATTGTATCTCTCATGATATAATTTCTGTAGAATCATATCTAATCTTTCCAGGAAATTTGTAAAATTACCCATAGGAGATCTGTAAATAGTTAGTATACAATTTTTTTTTGTTCCTGGTAAGTTCTTAGTCAGCTGAATTGCACACGCTTCGATGTCCTTGTCTACAGTAAATTCTTTCTTTGTGTGGTAGAACTTAAAAGCATGCAACTTGTATTGATGCAATTATCATTGTTGTTGCCTTCTTCAATTTGCTGTTGATGTTGTTTTGCGTATGTATCAGGATGGTACAATATAAAAAAAATCAACATGGTGTCACACAGGATCTGTGCTTAGTGTTTGGTTTATTGGTAATAACTACTGAATCACTGGAGCCAGGTATATGGATAAGTTACCAGTTACAAACATGGCAGATATGCATAACTTGCAGGCTATACCTGATAAATTTAGTGTGATTGGAATCTCTAAGAATGGAAATTATGCACAGAAATAGATCACTTAATTGTGTATTTCTGGATATCTTTACATTATTCAGTAAAGCATTGAAATAATAGTAGGCATCATAAATTCTTCTTCTACGGCTCTCCGGTCCATATTTGGTCCATGGCCTCATCAATTCTCCTCTTCCCTTCAGTCATCTGTTAGGTCCGTCTGTCCGAGGCTTTGATCGAGGTTTCGAAACATCTTCCTTTTTACGGTGCAGGGTTGTTAGTCTTGCGACCAACCCCCAACCTGGAGGGCCAGGGTACCTGTCTTAGTCTGACCTCTCCCCCTCGACCAATCTGGCTAGGGAGGCCCTACCAGTAGCTTTGCTACCGCCAGCATAGCTCTTGGGGTCACTGAGGTACTCAAGCCCCACCACCATGACAAGGTGCAGGTACCATTAAGTGGGGAGGCATCATAATTTATTCCCAGAAATTCTTGTTTAAAACTCAATATGCACTAATGGATCACTAATTGTTATAGTTTATAGTAAAATACATTCTTCTTTCCTTTGAATGGAACAAAGTTGACTATGTATTATTTCTGTTTTTTTTTTTTATTCTGTGAAGGTTATAAATGACAGTTACACATTTCAGTACTTGTTACTCTGTGTATAACATAACACAATTGGAACCATTTCCAGGTCTTAGGTTGGACAACCATATTAATATATCTTTCTTATTTTATTAAGAAGTTAGTTTTGTGATGTCAACATGTCTGCTCTAATAATGGTTTTTGAACAAATTGACAGATTTTTATGAAAGTAGAAGGTAGCATCATACATTGGAAGCTGCTCTATTTTTGTACTTCTTAATCCCTTACCCATCAGTAATACCAAAATTGTGGCCATACAGATTTCTGAGGTGTGTCACTAATACCCCTTTATGTGTATTATCAGATCTTAAAAGTGTATGTAACTTTTTAAGGCCCTTTGTATATGTATAGTGTAATGTATGCATTTTCATTGAGGTCTTATAGAACTTAGATTTAGCTTTACGTTAGTTCAAAGTATATGAAATTTGGTACGGAGGTAGATTTTAAATATAACTATAAATTGTGTATGAAATGCATTTTTATATGTTAAAAATTAAAAACACTGGCAATCATGTTAGACTTTAAGGTTGTAATTGACAACGTTATGTAAATGGAAATTATGTGATGAAATAGATCCTAAAGTGTTTAATTATTAATTTATGATTTCCCTATGTTTTAAGACAATTATTCCTTTCTGTAAGTTTTATTTTTAAAGATAATTGTTCAAGTTGTTGGTGTAGCAACATAATGTATTTACTTAAAACAGAAAGTCATTACCAGATTCAAATTTGTAATACTCTGAGCTTTTATTCCTTTGGTATGTTTGTAATTTTTATATTATATGTAAAATTTATGGGTTGTCATTGAAAATTACTGATTAGTACTGTTAAAGTTTACTTATCTAAAGGCTAGTGTGTTGTTACTATGAGATTCATGGCAATTTTTTTTAGACAGATTGCAGTTTGATGTACGAACTCTTAGTGTGAAATTTGAAGTTGACAGTGATGATGTTGTTTTGAGTTTTAATGCCATGTAGCTTGTTGGTAGATGCTAATGTTTCTCCAAAATGTTGGTATCTATCTGTGGATCTACATAATGCCAAAACTCAAAAGAATAACTTCATTATGAATTGTTTGGTTTAAAGAGGAAAGTAATGGCTTATATGAAGGATTAGCCTAGAGTTTTCAATCAAGAAGCCTTGCTATTAGGTTCAAACATTACTGAACAGTCACAGTATAGAATTAAATCAGTATTCAGTTCTAGAGAACACTTATGATGTATAATTTGTGGAAGAGGCCTGACAGACATGATGAACTTAAAATTATTTAGATTTGCTAGTAAGTACTCCTCAAATAAGAATTTTTGTTGATGTGTATTAATCAGTTAACTGTTTAATTTATTTTTTAAGTCTTATTTATTTTAGTAAAATCTTCTTACCTTAGATCAGGATAGTATGGTCGGTAAAGAGACTGCCTACAGGACAAATAACTAGTGTTTGGTTGTTGATTTCAAAAAAAGGCTTAATTTTTTGAAAACATGTCAAAAACTTTCAAAATTCCAATTTTGAAAATTCAATATTTTTAATATTTTCGTAATTTCAAACATTAACTCAACAAAACCGAACAGAATCTAACGCAACCTAATTTAACTTGACATAACCTCACCTAACCTTGCGTAACCTCAGCTAATCAAATCTAATCTAAGCTAAGTTGTGTGAAATTGAGCTGTGCAATCTAGGGGATACAAACTTGGTTTTATAATGGAATAAGGAGCTATATATTTACACATCAAAAATGAAATAACATATTTTTGAAAAATGAAATGTACATCTTAAAGAAAAATTCAAATGGATGTGTAGTCCAACTGCAACATAAACGTACTTAACATTTTAGATATGGTTGGTAACGTTTCATACTTTTACTAGCAAGTTCACTGTCATCTGTGAATATTTAACAAAGCTTTCCATGGTTTTAATTTATTCTAAGCTGGGCCTTTTCTTTCTAAATCTTTGAAGTCAAGTGTAAATTGATTTAAAATTACTTTCAATTTACATCTGTTATTGTGACTGTAAGGATTTTTTGTTTAAAGACCATCACAATACAAATTAACAAAAATCATTTCACCAAAATTTTCGTGGAGGTCATCTAAACGGCCTACCAGAAAAATGTTTCTTCAAAAGTAATCTTGTCCCTTTCACCTCCTTTTTTCTCACAAACAAAAACTGTTTTGGATTTAAATTAGTGTAATCTCAGTATATACTGTGCACTTATTACTGTACTCCATTTACATAACAGTGAGAAATGAACTTCATAGCATTGTAAAGATTCATACAAATTCTTAAAGCTGAATAAAATCTTGCACTATTGCGAGTATGAAGGATTAAAGTGAGATAAATTATTGAGAAAGTGATGATAACTTACCACAGGAAGGGAGGAGATTAGCAAGCATTTTGTCTTCGCCATGCTTAACTCTCAAAGCATATTTTGCTTCATATGCTAAGTACAGTCTGATTGTAAAATTAATTTTATAAACACCTTGAAGCATTCATTAGTTTCTCAGAGCACACACTTATCAAATTATTGTCTGAGTTAAGATTGTAAGTACTATGATTCCTACGACAGATTCATTTAAGTTGAACGATACATTTCTGTTTCAGCATTGTAAAATGTGAGATGTAAATTTCCAGTTATTTGTCGTTAACATTTATCAGCTGTGAGTCATGCATTTAAAGACCAGCTTGCCCTGTGTCACAACAGCATAACCACTGAACCATTAAACCCCTTTTAGTTAAAATCCAGCGAACAGTCCCTATTCCCATGTGACACAAGTAAACTTCGAATTTCTTGTGTCAAACTATTCCATTTACCCCTGACTTACTGTGAACTGTAATATCACAACGTCTTTTACAAAAAATAAGTATCATCATGGGGAAGATCAATGCTTTATGTACTGTATCGTGAGTAAAAATTCTGCATAATTTATATTTCCTGAACAGAACTGACAAGACTGACACCACTACATCTGTATTGACAGTATATGGTCTGATAAACGGTAGTATTTTAAGCGTGAGGACATGTGTCGCATCCAGGGATCGAACCGAAGCCTAACGACAACAGTCAGTTAGTTTAAAGTAGGACGGTAATGCACAACAGAGCGAGCCGACGTAGGTAAGACTGTGAAAACCCAGAAGTAGGAACAGACCAACGTATTGAGCTCAGCAAGTTTGCCTAAAAAATGACTCGGGAATGAGGTCACGGGGAAAGAAACTCGCTGACGACGTATGTTGCAGGGCGGCTAATTGATGGAGTGATTCAGGCAGAGAATCTAGCTCACAACGTAATGGCCACATGGCGGCGACGTGACCACTTGAGAGGTTGAAGCTAGCTGAAGGACCGCCTTGACTATGGGACGACCAGACCAGCCACTGAAGACAGGCGCTATACCACCTGCAGATGGACTAGTCGTGCAGACTGAAGTCGCCAGGCCAAGAAGGATCAACGGACGGAGCCGCAAGCCAGGACCTGAAAGATAAAGGAAGAAGTGACGCCATTGAGGAAACGAACCAAATTGTCAGGATGTTGGCCAGCGCAGCAATAGTCACATTCCTTAGTTTCAGAAGAAAGTGAGCAAGCCGTCTCTGTGTCAGCCATGTTAAGGGTTAATTAGGAAACATTAAGCATAGGGTAGTTTAGGTCAGGAGACAGTGTTAGCGAGACCTCTAAAACGTTTACTTGTTATCCCGTGGTATTCCTTTGTCAAGCCACCTAACCTTCGGAAGAGACAGGAGAGAGTGTCATGTATCGGATAGGAAGTGTTTGCAAGGGTTTTTCTCCCGAATGAGACTGGAGTAGATGGTGACATTATACCAAATAGGACAGACAGGGAGGGTGAAATGGTAGAACCCGAACTTCCACTGGTTCGGCGGACTAGTTCACCCCCTATGGGCAACTGCGTAACACGTGGTGGCTGGCGGTGGTGTGGTCCACCCTACTGCATCACATCACGTGGTGGCAGGCAACGGGATAATACCCCGGCCGCCCACTCACCCCCGACGGAACTTCTCTGCTTTGGAGTGGAGGTAAAGTTCCGCGCATTCTCAACTCCGGCTGTACACTGAAGCCATTGGTCAGCAATGTCCTGGCCGCTTTTCACAGTCATTTAGAAATATAGTCTTAGCAGCTAACTGGTAAATTGGGGCAGTTCGGTTCCCATTAGTTTGTGTAATGATACAACAGAGCAGGAGGCTATTGGAGTTTTGATGCGAATGTCATTATCAGTGATACTGATGCGATGTCGTATTCTTCCGCAAGTTACAGCGCCAAACTACCCGGTCGATTTGACTCATACTCGGTATGGAGGACCAATACTAATTTTTTTAGAAAATTTAATGTTAATTTCGTTTTTATTGCTTGAAAGTCACTTTACATGCGGACCTGAAGATATCTTCTGCATTTGCTGACAGAGTTTGATTAAACTTTATATACTGCATTTATATCAGGCGAGTATTATCACAGATGAAATAGTGTTAACAGTCTCACTAAATTTAATTAGTTTTAAGGGACTAACTGGACATTAAAGTGATTATTTGAATCCTTTTGCTGATTCTGATAAGGCTTTATACTCGGCGCTTTAGGCCTACATTATAGCCTCCGCGTATCATCATTTGCTTAGAGTTTTTGATCCACTTTACCCTAGAAACAAATTGAACATGCTTTGTTTTCGACTGAAACGGGTGTCCACCCACCACCCGTTGATTCCGCAGCCAACCTTGTCTGCTTGTGGTGATTCCACGGCTGGCCGATAGTATATACACGCGCGTATTGTTCACAGATGGCATTTCTACAGCTACCGAGGCACTACCATACACGCCGAAAGTGATGAGTAAGCAGTGGTATGACAAAAGTAGCATGCGTGTGGTAAAACTTAGCGGAAGATGATGTTGCACTGAAATGGTAGTAGAATGATCAAGGCCATTTGTTCAAAGCTCGTAGCCTGGTCTGCATTCTTATGGGTGAAATAAAAAATCCAGCTTCTGCGGCTCGCCAGCCCAGTGTTGAAATAACGAGAAAAGTTGATTGTCTAGTGGAAGCGACAGTGGTGCCAAGCATCGCAGTGATTTTGACATGGTAGGGGAGCGGAAGGAAGAACAACAGTATTACGACGAAGAGAAAATTTACAGCCAGGTAATCAGGACTGCGGTTTGTAAAGCTACGTATATCCAGGAAATAGCCGATTGAAAAGTGTGAATTAAATTCGTCTTTTGTTTCTAAGCAAAGAACCTGTTTTGTAATAACAGACTTCGTGACAATAATTACGCAATCTTACAGCGGATTTGTTCCGAAATTGTGACAAGATGTTGCTGAAGGTCGGAACACGTTGACAGACTTATTACGTCGACGTCGGTGATGATGCTTCAGTGCTGACATAATCCAGTACACAATACAGAGAACTGTCCTTGTCATATATTTGTATTCCTTTGTAAGCATATTGTCTTACCGCTTATAATTTTCAGTCTTTCCCTTTATGTCGCTGTTTCTCAGTACTTACCTATTAACGGAAGTCATGAAGATTTCTGTTTTCTGGGTTGTTGCGCTGTGTAGTATGGTAGATGTTTACCAACGTTTCAGAGGTCATCAGGGCGATGAATGTGCCAATTTGGTGGGTGGGGCTAGGTTTATAGGAGCCGGACCGTGAATGGAGTAGCGTGCCTCCAGCCAATGGGAGCAGGTGTCACCCAGAAGACAGAAATCTTCATAATCACCGCTGTGAAAACCTCAAAACATACAACGGAAGTCATGTATGTTGGTCTATTCGCTGTAGCTTTGTAAGAATTTACGAATGCTTTTACGCTGGTCTTATGTCATTAATGTCACTATTAAAATATCAGCAGTGCAATTTGGACTCTTACAAGGAACAGCATTTTATTTTGTGTATAAAACGCTGTTTACGTGTTATAATCGTAAAGCCTGTATCCTGTTAAAATACAAAATCTTTAAATGTTATAATATACTGAACATAATATCTTTTCAGGCATATTTTTACGTTACTGTGTCTTAACAGATTCTGAGACCATCGGCCATTGGGCTCCACAGGCTCTGCCTCGTTTGCATCGGCACGGGGTGTACAAACATGTCATGCATGAAGCAGACGATGTTAGACGGCACTGCACATTTGTGCGTCGCGATGAACAGGGACTGCGTATTCTAACCATGCGTTACACTGCAAGACACCTCTCCTGCTCAAAGTGACAGCTGACACACGGAGGCACTGTCAACAAATACGTACATTTCGGCGATCCCGATGATGAAGGCAGCATGAACCTCGAAAACGTCGGTAAACTAATACCAGACTACACAGCGCTACAAACCGGAAAATTCATATCTTTGCCTTCTTGCTTTCTTTTCAGAATTTTACAGGCTTGGCTTCAGTGATTATTTTCTTCAAACCGAGAGAGAAATTAATATTTCGTTCAGATGTCATGTTGAATGAATACTGAATAAAGGAGTTGCCTAACAGATGCTCAATATTCATCTCGAAATTGTTTTAATTCCTTGAGGTTACATTTAATATCACTTCATTAAATTATTGTATTTTCCAGTATTTTAGTAACATTTCTGATCCTATAAAGGGGGCGTAAGTCGTAAGTGGTCACTATCGCCATTTCTTTTCTTGCTTTGTGCCCCGTTCAGAATCTCAGAGTGTCTCAAACGAAATGTTATTTTAAAGTTTCGTGTGCAGGAAAATACGCGTATGTGTGTGTGTACGCAGAAAAATGTCCATATTATTCATACGTCACTAAGTTTATAAATATTTGTAGCCTTCTGTAAAAATAACTGCTATTACCGTAGAGATTTAAAAGTAGGACAGTTATTTAGATTACTTCAAAAAATCCTTATCTGGAAATAATAATTATTAATAAATATAGATAACAATTAAAAATATGAAAGCAGTTGCAATGTGACACAGATGTGAAGACACAATCTAATTTGACGACAATTCCGTATTAAAAAGTGTCTCACTAATATTAACACACTTGTGAACCAAAATGCAAATACATTTAAAATGTCGTGGCATATATAGGATTACGTCGCGGCACACTGGTTAAGAAACTCCAAAATGAAGAGCCGAAAGGGGGCGAGGCCTCTGAAGCACAGACTCGCCAGCCAAGAAAGCAGAACAGTCTTCCAGTCCAGCCCAATTTGACTAGTGCTCCACGCTTTAATAACTGCTCTTTCAAGTTCCTAGTTTTGTGTATTTTGTGGTGATATTTTGTACTTATTCATTAAAATACTTACACGTACAGTACAAAATACCGTGAATAAATGAATAAATAAATACATCTGTTAACTGAAAGCATGGCATTTGGAAAGGTTGGTGCTTCCCTAGAGACAGGGGAAAATTACCCGATATATTGGGGCAAATCAGCCAAATGTACGTTTGCAATTCTTTTAAATATCACACGTAGGTCACAAATCAATACAAAATTCTCAGTGGGTTGCCTTCATAATGAAGTTTTGTAAACGATGTCCATGAAGCAAGAACATTTATTCTTCCCTTAAGTTGGCGCAATTGCCCCCACTTCCCCTAATGTCATGAAGACGTTTTCCTAACTCGAAACATGTCGCCACAAATGGATTTAATACAAAACGCAAAGAGAATCTGCTATGTCTTGATGGATAGTAATTTTTTGGATAAATTTAAACGTCTGTAAAATAATTAGTTTCAATAAGACTTCTTGAGCAGAAAATAACGAAGAGAAATAATTTTGCCTTCTTCGCTGCAAACAATATTTTATTTTTATTTTTATTTGTAGCTCCAACATCAAGTCCCAGATTTCTTTATTATTTTCGTAAGGTACTTAATTAAAATTAATGTGTTTGTCGTGGCAGTAATCAAATGTAAACCACGAATTTTCCAAATCCAGCATTTCTTTACGTTTCTCTTCCAACAATTTGTTTCTGTGTTTGTATGCGTAATCTCTTGCATTAGATAGGTTCTTGATAACACAAGTCGACATATCGTATCTAGAAAAATTCATATCTGCCGCCTGGTACCTGCAAATTGAAATACTCGTATTAAAAGTGAAAACAAACCCATTTTCATCATCCATCAGAATTATCTACTCAAGATAATTTTTATCACATTTCCCGTACAGACTTACAGGAAGTATGTAGTTCTACATGAGATGATGTAACTCATGAAGGAATGCGTCTTCTACCGTAAATAATTCTTAATATAAATTTAATAGAAATGTAATTAAGTGCATTTATGTAAAGAAATTATCCATTTTCTTAAAAAAATATATATATTTGAAGATTTCTATCCTCTGGGTTGTTGCATTGTGTAGTCTGGTCGATGTTTACCAACGTTTTAGAGGTCATACTGCCTCCGTCATCAGGCAGTAAGAAAGCTGTCGTCTGGGATGTTTATGGAGCTGCTTACTCTCTCCATCATCAGCTGGAACGAGACTTCATGGTAAAACACGCCAAGAGACAGCCATTTCGAAATAAACTTCTATAAAAAATGGTAACATGAGACGGATAGGCGTCGTTAAATCTGAAACCGGCCTAACACTTTCATGAAAGCCGAAGATTATGGCGGTTTTGATGTTCTGAACGCCAGAAACTTCCTGCCTAAGAGAGTGCCACTGATCAAAGAAACTTAGTCAAAGAGCTTCTTATTAATGCAGTTACAGCTCACGTCTGATTAGCATTACGTAGTCATTTGCCCTCTGCTTTAACGATTCAGCTTGACCGCAACATCGCCCTGCCCAATGTCATTCTACCCACTTCTTCTCACCCATTTTTCGCGCGTGGTTTTCAAGGTTCTGAGTAAGCAGTAGGAACCTCCGAAACGTCGGTGAGTTTCTACGATACTACACGGCGTAGCATTCGCAAGATCGCAGATACCTTGACCGGAAATGATTCACTTCCCATTGCTTTGCGGAAGTAACAGTTTGTGATTATACAGTCCTGAACAAAGAAACGAAGAAACAAACCTTTCATCTCCATTGCCATTAAAACTTTCGACACCGAAGATGGTATCTTTGTCAAAAAATCCACCGATGACGAAGATCATATCGTCGATCACTTCTGCGTTGCAGAAAGATGAATAGACGAGCATGTCAGGGATCTCGGTCCACGTGTCGTTTGCAGGGTCATACTTTTCGGCTATGGGCAGGTCTCCTTCTCCGTTGTATCCTCCTGCACACACACACAATCCATAACAGGTCACAGAATATAAAAATAGCTGCCAAACGAAACTTATTCTAACCCAATTCAGCGGGGACCTTCTTGATATTTATTACTCTGTCACCTGGCCACGAAATGTTTGGCCTTTATACAGCCACAAGATTCCTAACCTTATTCACAAATTTGAACACCTTCCACATACTCTAGTTCCTTAAAGACTTTTCAAAATTATCCTTCGTTTTAAGACTGTATCACAAGTGGTATCTCTTCTTCAAGATCACCAATTATAACTTTCTAGATGTATGTATTTCTCGTATCTTCCGTCCTTCCCACTCCGACCGTCTTACCCAACGAACTTTACACTCTTAAAATTCTTCGTAAATGGAATGAATGAATTAAATGTAACGAAGAAAGCCCATTGCCTTTTACAATGTTAATATTAGTATCAGGAACGAAATTACGGATCAGAGAGCTACAATATATTTTCCGTACTTGTTCCATCAGGCAATTGCGCCTGACATCTGTTTTCTGCTTCATGAAACTGAAAATACCGTCCATGAATAAACACAAGCTGCACTTTTGAAAACGCCGTTACACAAACAATTGACGAAAGGCAAAGAATGCGAGGAGACTGCTTTAAACCACCGGCTTTTTGAGGATAACAGGGCTGCAAACTGAAATTTCCTTGCTACAAGAACAAAATATTTACCTGTAAAAGTGGGTCTGTGGGAAAAATGGGGTATACGTTATTTGAGATACCACAACAGATTATGCGTTGTTAATTAGTTAGTGTTCTTTGTGGAGAATGTAATCGAAACCACGAATCGGGGTTAAAATGACTGACAAATTAACTCTGTAATGACGGGAAAAAATGCTGTTCATGAAATCTTATGCACTCAAAGAAAACCAGGAAAACATTTCACAATAGCAAGTTCTGTAAGAATGATAGAGGAGCATCACTCAGAATGTCCAGAATTCTCACCTAGGGCGTACAGACAGCCGTGGAAGGCGACGCAAGAGAAACTGGCACGTCGAGAAAGCATTGGTGCAACGAACGTCCATTTGTTCGTATCAGGGTCATAAACTTCCACCGAGTTGAAATATTCACATATATAATTTCCACCAGCGACGTATATTTTGTCTGTAAAAACAAATTATCTCTATGACACAAACTGTACACAAATTTAATGTAGGCAAAGGCATTATACTGGTCCATGAAGAGCACAAACATGGGACAATCCGTGCTTAAATTTGTAAATCTGTTAATGATATTGTATTTAATGTCCTACTTCGTGTCACAGAAACAGCACAGTCTCTGTTCATCTGTTTCTTTGTTTGCAATGCAGACGCGTATTATTGATAAAATTTAATATAAGCAGAATCAAGTGCTTAAATTAATGTATAATGGAAATTATGGTACGTTGCAATTTCTGTGGAACGAATTTGATTAAATTTGTTACGAGAGATGTACGGTACAAGCTGCCAAGCGGTGCTCTACATTTTTAATATTATGTGCTATTTACATGAGATTATGAACAGTTTTTAACGTCCCTCTACGTGCCATACAGGCGCTTGGGGTGAGTGGAGGTATAGCTCCTCTCTTTCTTGACCTCGGCACTAGATGGGGGTGAGTGGTCGGCATCACGCCCCGGCCGTGCTTTACCCCCGGGAGGACCACGGTACCCATTGTAGAGGAGGCTGGGTGGACCCCAGAGCCGGTCTGGACGCAGAGGCTAGAGGAAAAATCCTCTGCCCCCGTCGGGGACCGAACCCCGGTCGTCCAGCCCGTAGCTAGTCACTATACTGACTGAGCTATCATACATGAGATTATATATGCTGTCTCAAAAACATTATACATCTGTATCATATGAGAGCCAGTTTGATAGTTTGAGGGTTGTTTGCATTCACTCCTAGTGTACATTAAAAAGGCAGAAGACAATGCAAACGGACAGCTTATAAGAGCAGAAGAAACCATCACGCACTCAGAACTTCAAGCTGTTGCAGCCCGTGAAAAAACGTAGTACGTAGCACGGATAAAAGACTATGGGACGATGGAGTGAGGGAAATTAAGTTCAAGAGCGAAGAGGAATGCCTTGATGATGAAGGCATAAAGTTCCTCTGAAACGTCGGCAGAAGTCAAACGACGGCCATCTTCGTACTCGCCACCGTAGGAACCTCAAATCCTGCGAATCCTTCAACCGTTCTTGCGTTGTTACACGCGGACAGACAGACTGACGCCTCGCATTCTACACTATTTCACGCATTTCTGTGTCACAGGATTTACGTACCATTCAGTACAGCCGCACTTGCACTGCGTCGCTCTCTGTTCATGGGAGCGATCCACGACCACTGGTTCGTCGTAATTCAAAAGAATTAACAAGCAAATAATATTCATCAAACCTGGAAAAACTACGAACGAAGTCTGTGATTGGCTTCTATTCGTGTTTGACTTACGAACATTGTCGCAAGTGTCCTTCTGTATGTGAGTGGTACAATTTTACAGTCCCTGCCCATATTTATATCTAGACTAACAGGGCGACTATCAGCTTTTGAAGAAGTAAACCGCTCCAAGGAGTTCCTTAGTTACCGATCTGCATCTTACCTGCAGACATTCATAGGCACCACCTCGCGCCATGTCTTCATAACAGCGTTGAAGCAGTTACATGAGCTTTAAGACTTCCTCGCCGTCGTAACCACCGATGACGTAAATGTCGAAACCGATTACTGCCGTGCCATGGCGGGCTCGCGGTCTGATCGAGTCGACCCCCTCCACCTGCAGAAACGACAGGTTATGGCTTTATGTTTCTTTGAGTCATTTCGTCTACTAATGCGAAGCCCAAGCGAAATACCACCGGACCAGAGGTACAACCCCCAACAGTGAACCGAAATTGCTACACCGGCTGGGCGCCAGGGCCTACCGCACTCGACAAAGACCGTGAGAAATTAACTTGGGGCAATGGTGGAATTATGAGAGACGGAGGAAACAGGATGACCCGAAGAGGAGCTCAAACATTACCAGAGCCCTCGTCAAGTACGACAGACAAATGCAGAATTTCTGATCAATAACTGACATTCCAGGTTCGTGCGATGGTACAGACAGATGTTGGTGTTTTGGGTTTTATCGACGCAAAGCTGGAGGCAGTACGTCCCCCACCCCACCTCAAACAGTGTGTCAGCCTTCTAATTCACGAGGCGTTACCACACAGATAACCAACATCGACACTGATTAATGCTTCATTTATTATGTTGATATCCACTGACGATCAACGAAGACTTCGATTCATGTCTAAAATCAATTGATGTAGGACGCTTATCGTAAATGGTATTTAAGGCAAACTTCATATCTTTCTTCTTCTTCTTCTTCTTCTTCTTCTTTCTCTATGTCCTCTTTTAGCCGTACGTCTCGAGGTTTATTTTATTCATTTAAGTGATCTGTTTGGATTCCTTGGTGAGTGATCAGCCCGACGCAAGGCCTCTACCTAAACAAACACAGAAAGATGCGGACAAACATCCATGCCTTGAATGGGACTCGAACCCACGGTCCCAGTGGCCAGGCGCACGAGGTCCATGCCTCAGAC